AAACCATAATCAGTAATGTCCAACACAGGCCCGTAGCCAGGATTTCGTTTCGGGGGGGGGGGGGCTGAGTTTGTTTGGGGGGGGCTGAGTCCGAGTGAAAGAGGGTTTACCCTAGCAAACCTTTTGTATCGTTACCCCAATACCCCCATGCATATGGGATATGTTGAGTAGGGTGATCAGATCATGATATGAATAAACATAACAGTTTAAATAATGCACCAGTAAGGCCTTTTCGCGAACCACCATGAGAATTTCGGGGGGGGGGGACTGAAGCCCCTCAAGCCCCCCCCCGGCTACATGTCTGGTCCAACATATGGGAATGATAGCACAACCTAACCTAATCTCTTCTGTTGCTACTTATTTTCCAGTAGTTCACTAGTTGTATTCCCATGCTTTAGATTATTCAGAGTGTAAATTATAATATTTATAATATTATAATGCAATACAATATAATACTAGTGTAAATTATAACATTTATAATATTATAATGTAATACAATATAATACTAGTAATAATAATATTATAAGTATATATTTATATTACATGTAATATTACAAATAATATTACAATATAATGGTATAGTGCAATATAGAAATATATAATACTACTATTGTACTATGCTAATAATATAATATATTGTATGTATACATATCTTGTAAGCCGCTCTGAGTCCCCTTTGTGGTGAGAAGGGCGGCATACAGATGTCGTAAATAAATAAATAAATAAATAAATGTACATTATATATACTAGCGGTCCCCTGCCATGCGTTGCTGTGGCCCAGTCTGGTGATCTGGAAATAAAGTAATGAGAAAGTGTTGGTTTCTAATATATGTAATTTCTTTCTGCTTGTGGGTAAAACAGTATTTCTTGCTGTTTCTTTGCCAGTGTTGATGTGGAGATTGTCTGGTTTGCCTACTCTGGAACATGCAACATATCATTGTCCTTCTTTAGGGGCCCCTTTCAAATCTTTGATACTGCATTTATCATATACATATATGTGCGTGTGTGAATGGCTGTATGGCCCTTTGTCAGGAGGTCTTTGATTATATTTTCTTGCCCTGGTGAAGGGAGTTGGACTGGATGGCCTCAAGGCAGCATTTCTCAGCCTGGAGTTTGGGACCCCGGGGGGAGGGGGTTGCGTGGGGGTGTCAGAGGGGTCGCCAAAGACCACCTGAAAACACAGTATTTTCTGTTGGTCATGAGAGTTCTGTGTGGGAAGTTTGCCCCAATTCCGTCGTTGGTGGGGGTTCAGAATGCTCTTTGATTGTAGGTGAACTATAAATCCCAGTAACTACAACTCCCAAATGTCAAGGTCTATTTCCCCCAAACTCAATCTGTGTTCATATTTGGGCGTATTGAGTGCTTGTGCCAAGTTTGGTCCAGATCCATCATTGTTTGAGTCCACAGTGCTCTCTGGATGTAGGTGAACTACAACTCCCAAACTCAAAGTCAATGCCCACCAAACCTTTCCAGTATTTTCTGTTGGTCATGGGAGTTCTGTGTGCCAAGTTTGGTTCAATTCCATTGTTGGTGGAGTTCAGAATGCTCTTTGATTGTAGGTGAACTATAAATCCCAGCAACTACAACTCCCAAATGACAAAATCATAATTTTTGAGTGATGGTCACTCCTTGTGTTGTGAGACGTTTTGTTGCCAAATTTGGTGTGATTTCGTTCATTGGTTCTTTTGTTTTTAAGGTACTCATTATGCACAGAGCATTTATATATATATATAGATACACACACACACACACACTTATTATAATGTAATACAATAAAATACTACTAATAATAATATTACAATATTATAAATATATATATTATTTTACATGTAATATTACTAATAACATTACAATAGAATGGTATAGTGCAATATAGTATTATATAATACTGATATTGTACTATGCTAATAATATTATGTATTGTATGTATATATATTTTGTAAGCCGCTCTGAGTCCCCTTCGGGGTGAGAAGGGCAGCATATAAATGCCATAAATAAATAAATAAATAAATAAATAAATAAAATTGTTGGGATTTATTTCTCTTTGTGTTTCTGCTGAACATGCTTTCATTTCAGTTCCCCTAAAAATCTTTACTTGTATAGCTCTGTGTGTTTAGCATGACATCTTGTTTAGATCAGTGTGGCATTGGGTTTGAATTGATTCACAGAGAACATGGTGTGTGTCTGTCTGAGCAATATCATGTGTATTTTAAAGCGCACTTTGTGTGCAGGCGGGAAAAAGGAACCCCCAAACCGCACAAATGAAGCATAACTTATTAGGCAACAACAGGGAAATATTTCATGCCAGTTCTCAGACTTTGGTCCTCCAGATGTTTCGGACTCCAACACCCAGAATCCCCAGTCAGCGGAGCCAGCGATCAGGGACTTTGGTAGCAGTTGTTTTATATCACAGTAATGGAGATGATCTGTCTGTTGCATGTAACTGGCTTAAGAACTGTGAAATAATAATAAAAAACCACACAGAAGGTATGGCCAAGAAATGAGCTTTTTGTTTGTTTCAGTTGTGGTAATAGTGAGTGATGAGTGCTAAGAGCCAACTTTTTTTATTGTTACACTGAGTTCTTGGCTGTTCATTCCAGCAGCTGATGGCTCTGATGTCAGCCGCATGATAAATCTGTTCTGGGTTTCAGTCCAAACTTTATAAAGGAGCAATCCAAACTACTGAATCCTATCTGCAAAATAGCTTTAATATCTTGAGTAGCCTTTATGAATTCTGCTTAAAGCAGAGTTGGGACTGATCCCATATTAACCCAGTGCTCTCTAACTCAGGTCCTCAGGCACTGTGACTACAATTTCTATAATTTCCCTCAGTGATAAAAAATCATGTTTCAAAATATCCGCTGCCTAATCAGCCACAATTATAAATGCCACACAGCTCAGGAATTCTGGTTGTTGGCGTCATAACTATTCACTTTCTGCAGCTCAGCATTGAAGCATATCCAAAGGGCTCCTTACCTTTCTGAAGAACATCTAGTTAAGTTCTGTTTGCCACCTGATTAGACTACTGCAAGGCACTATATGTTGGGCTGCCCTTGAAGATTATTCAGAAGCTGTAAAAAAGGCTTTTAAGCAGAGGCTGGATGGCCATCTGTCAGGGGTGCTTTGAATCTGATTTTCCTGCTTCTTGACAGGGGGTTGGACTGGATGGCCATTTGGCATTACTCTGGTTGTTATACTTTTTTACAGCTTCTGAATAATCTTAAGGGCAACCCAACATATAGTGTCTTGCAGTAGTCTAATCAGGAGGCAAACAGAACTTAATTAGATGTTCCTCCATGCCCTTCTGACAAACAAACTAGCCAAATTTGGCCTAGGCAAAACTACGGTTAGGTGGATCTGTAATTGGTTAAGCGGATGAACCCAGAGGGTGCTCACCAATGCTTCCTCTTCATCCTGGAACGAAGTGACGAGTGGTGTGCCATAGGGTTTCAATACCCTGTTTATGGCAAAATTACATTTCTTTGCCATTATTATAGCTACTCCTCTTGACTTTGATGACCCAAAAGATGTTTCATAGTTCCTTATCCAGCTCAACATCTTTATTAACGACTTAGATGAAGGGTTAGAGGGCAGGATCATCAAGTTTGCAGATGACACCAAATTGGGAGGGATAGCCAATACTCCAGAGGACAGGAGCAGAATTCAAAACGATCTTGACAGAATAGAGAGATGGGCCAAAACTAACAAAATGCAGTTGAACAGTGACAAATGCAAGATACTCCACTTAGGCAGAAAAAAATGAAATGCAAAGATACAAAATGAGAGATGCATGGCTTGAGGGCACAATGTGTGAAAAAGATCTTGGGGTCCTTGTGGACAACAAGTTAAATATGAGCCAACAATGTCATGCGGTGGCAAAAAAAGCTAATGGGATTTTGGCCTTCATCAATAGGAGTATAGTGTCTAGATCCAGGGAAGTAATGCTACCCCTCTATTCTGCTTTGGTTAGATCACACCTGGAATATTGTGTCCAATTCTGGGCAACACAACTGAAGAGAGATATTGACAAGCCGGAAAGTGTCCAGAGGAGGGTGACTAAAATGATCAAGGGTCTGGAGAGCAAGCCCTATGAGGAGCGGCTTAAAGAGCTGGGCATGTTTAGCCTTCAGAAGAGAAGGCTGAGAGGAGACATGATAGCCATGTATAAATATGTGAGAGAAAGTCATAGGGAGGAGGGAGCAGAGCAAGCTTGTTTTCTGCTGCCCTGGAGACTAGGATGCAGAACTACAAGAAAAGGAGATTCCACCTGAACATTAGGAAGACTGTGAGAGCTGTTCAGCAGTGGAACTCTCTGCCCCGGAGTGTGGTGGAGGCTCCTTCTTTGGAAGCTTTTAAACAGAGGCTGGATGGCCATCTCTCGGGGGTGCTTTGAATGCAATTTTCCTGCTCCTTGGCAGGGGGTTGGACTGGATGCCCCATCGAGGTCTTTCCCAAGGGGGATATACACAACCTGCCCTGCTTTTGGCAGGCTCCTCTGGTCCCCACTCCCATTGAAACGTCCCGAGAATGGCAGGGAGCCACGGGCTGCTTGCCTGCTCCGCAAATTGGACCCACTCCCACAGCAAACTCCAGCGAGGAGGCTTTTCTTCTGCATCCCACGTGTTGCTCCCTTTCTCTGCCAGACAGCCCGATGTTTCATCCTGCTGTTCCCACTCTGCGCCTCCCTCCCTCCCTCCCTCTGCATCAGAGCGGAGACAAGGCAGGAGCAGAAAGAGCAGCAGCCCGTCTCCTTCCCTTGCGGAATCCCGGCCCCTTTCTGCTCTTTCCTCCCGCCGTTCCCTCTCCCCTCCTCGCGTCGGATCTTCCAGAGCCAGTCCCCGGGGGCCAAGTGTGGGAAGCGCCGAGTTTCCGCTCCGTCGGACTCTCCCCGGCCAACTCCCCCGCCTGGACTTCCAGCAGCAGCTCCGGCAGAGAAAGGAGGCAGCGGAGAAGGCAGGGGATGGAGCCTCAGGGATCCAGCTGATCAAGGTCGGAGAATAAGCGTCAGGAAAGGTAGACAGGGAAGCAAAGGGCGCTCCTTTCTGCGCCTCTCCTGCTTGCTTCCAAGCCTGGAAGAGAGCCCTTTTCTCTGCCGCCGCCTTGCAGGAAGGGATGCCGGATCGAAGCCGCCCAGCCCTGGTCCGGGGGAGATGGTCCCGCTGATGCGGCTCCTGCTGGCCTCCTGCTGGCTCCTGGCGCTGCTCCCTCCTCCGGTTGAGCCCATCTGCCCAGAGCCATGCGACTGCCAGCAGCAGCAGCACCTCCTCTGCACCAACCGGGGCCTGAGGGCGGTCCCCAAAGCCCTGGAGCCACAGGACATCCTTACCTACAGCCTGGGGGGCAACTTCATCGCCAACATCTCAGCTTTCGACTTCCACCGCTTGGGGTCGCTCCAGCGTCTGGACTTGCAGTACAACCGCATTCAGACCCTGCACCCCAAGGCCTTTGAGCGCCTGGGCCGCCTGGAGGAGCTTTACCTGGGCAACAACCTCTTGGCAGCCTTGACGCCAGGCACCCTGAGGCCCTTGGCCAAGCTGCGCATCCTCTACATTAATGCCAATGAGATCGGCTACTTGAGCGCGGCATCCTTTGCCGGCTTGGGCAGCTTGGTCAAGCTGCGGTTGGATGGGAACACCTTGGGTTCGTTGGGGGATGCCACATTTGCGGGGCTGACCAACCTGCTCTATTTGCACCTGGAGGCCAACCGGATCCGCTGGTTGAGCCGCAATGCTTTCGCTGGCTTGGGCAAACTGCGTTTCCTTGACCTGTCTGGAAACCAGCAGAGTTTGTTGCGCCATCCAGACACTTTCCGGCCTCTGAAGTTGCTTAGCACCCTCCTGCTCTCGGGCAACAACATCCAGCAATTGGGGAAAGGGCTGTTTCAGCACCTAAACAACCTGGCCAAATTGTCATTGAGCGGCAACCGACTGGATTGGTTGGCACCAGATGCTTTTGCAGGGCTAGCGGCCCTCAAGGAATTGCACTTGGAAGGAAACTTGCTGAGCCAACTGCCACCCCATCTACTGCAGCCGCTCCGCAATCTAGAGGTGTTGGACTTGAGCCACAACCGGCTGCTTGGCTTCCATCCTGATGCCTTTGTGCACTTGCACAAACTACGAGAGCTCAGTTTGCAGGAAAATGCACTGGTCACGGTCTCTGGAGACCTCTTTGCCTCCAGCCCATCTCTTTACCGGTTGGAGCTTGATGGCAATCCCTGGAGCTGCGACTGCCGCTTGCGAGGTTTGAAGCGTTGGCTGGGCTCCTGGCACTCCCAGGGAAGGCTCCTGACTGTCTTTGTGCAGTGCCGCCAACCACTTTCCCTGGCAGGAAAGTACCTTGATTACCTTGAGGATGTGCAGCTCCTCCCTCCTGTGAATGGAACTTCTTGTTCCGAGGAGTTGGCCTCTCCTTCTCCAGATTACCAAGGGAACAGCAGCTTCGGCCCCTTAGCTGAGAAGCTCAGCTCCTTGCCTTCTCTGTCATCCATGGTGGGCTCCCAGAACATGGTAGCCCCAGTGCAGGAAGGAGGAGACCAGGGCATTGATTCAAGCCCCACAACTTCAAGGCCTAGCTTGCTTATTAGTACAAGGCCACTTTCTCCTGACCCAGCTTGGCCTAGGAGGGCAGGAAAACACTACTTGGTCTCTTCGGTGTCTGGCACACCACCGCTGGTCACCGACCCCTGTGATTTCAACAAGCTGTTTCTGTACAACTTGTCAGTAGAGGCTGTGAGCACCAATGCTGTGACTGTGCGCTGGGGGGTCCGCCCCCATCGCAGTCCTCGCTTGCTAGGGCCTGTGCGCTTCAGGATCCTCTTTGATCGTTTTGGAGCAGCAGTCAAGTTCCAGCGTTTTGTGTACATCCCTGAATGGAGTGAGCCAGTAACCACGTTGCAGGAGTTGCATCCGGATACTCCTTACTTGGTCTGTGTGGAGGGTGTGATGGGAGGCCGCGTTTGCCCCGTGGCCCCACGGGACCATTGTGCAGGGCTGGTCACCTTGCCAGAAGAGGGTACAGGGGCAGCAGCCGCTGTGGCAGATGGGGCCCGAAGCTTAGACCAGCAGCTCCTCACCCTTGTGCTGTTGGCAGTCAATGCGCTGCTTCTCTTCCTGGCCCTAGCAGCCTGGGCCTCCCGCCTGGTGCGGAAGAAGGTGCTGGGCTGCCGACGGCGTAAAGCAGCATCACCGGTACATGTGAGGCAGATGTATTCAACTCGTCGCCCCCTTCGCTCCATGGGCACTGGTGTCTCTACTGACTTTTCTGGCTTCCAGTCCCATCGTCTGCCCCGGAGCACTGTCTGTGCTCTCAGCGAGGCTGACCTCATTGAGTTTCCCTGTGAACGCTTCATGGACAGTAGTGCAGGAGGAAACAGCAGTGCCCGGCGGGTAGAGGATAACCTCTTGCAACGCTTTGCAGACTAAAGACTAGCCCAGGTTACATTGGGATTGAATAGCTGCTGGTGTTATGATTTGGGAATGGTGACCTCTGTTGGCTATATGGAGGTGTGCAACTGGCATGCAAAATTATGGTTTATTAAACCAGGGGTTCTGTGTCTAAAAAGGAATAAGCCTGAACAAACCTATATGTCTTTCTGGGGATTATTGAAGGTCATTTTTTTTTACTAAAGGACCACTATCTTTTAATGAGGGACCAAATCTAGTTAACGGGATTCCACCACTATTCTCTATACACTACTATTTGCTCAAGCTGCATAGGCACTGGTTCCTGACCATGAGCCAATGGGAACCAATATGAACAAAGTCTTTGTACGTTGAGTTTCACAGCAATCCAATTATCAGTTCTCATACTGAGCTACTTTAATTCTTTCTTTTTTGAAAAAATAACCCCTGATCTGTGAACATAACTTTGTATCCATCAAGAACTTTGTTCTTGATCATTGGACTAAGATAAGAAGAGTAAAGCGGCTGCAATACGAGTAGGTGGTTCTATATGAATGTTCACAGCTGGACTGTATTTTGTGCCTTTCAGAAGGATATCTTTTGCATCACACAGGTATGGTATTTTGATACCAATTTAACTGTTACCACTCTGTCCTAGAGGATACTGGGGTTTGTAGTTTGGTGAAAGAATAATCTACTAGAGCAGTGGTTCTCAGCCTATGGGTTTTGGCCTTGCGACTGCCACTCCCAGAAATCCTAACAGCTGGTAAACTGGTTGGGATTTCTGGGAGTTGTAGGCCAAAACACCTGGAGACCCACAGGTTGAGAACCACTGTCATAAAGAACTGCAGTTGTGGAGCTAGAGCTCCCTAGTGGAGAACTCTGTCCCTCAGCAAACTACAAATAGCACTGTGAAATGTGGATACACTCCAGCCTTCCATCCACACTGCAGAATTATAGCAGCTTCACACCACTTTCACTGTTCTAGCTCCATCCTATGTAATCCTGGATTGGAAGTTTTTTGTGGCACCAATGCTCATTAACAGAAGAATAAATATCTCACAAAACTACAAATCCTAACAGTCAATTTGTTATCAAGCTGCTATAATTCTGCAGTGTGCATAGTTTTGCACCACTTACAATGCCATTTTTATGATCAAACCCAAGTTCATAAGACCACAACTTGATGTAGCTATATCTCTTGCTGAGTAAACAGTTTGAAGGAGCAGTAGCACAAATCCTCAGCTTGTATGCCCCCTCTAAACAAATGGATGCTATGCATTCCATAGCCACTGCCACCAAGGATATGTTGGCACAGCTGGGCATACATTTCATGCATACGGACAACGGACAGAGCAGAGATCATTGCAGAGTTCATTCATAGAATGGTTCCCCAGGAATGAGCTGTGGAGGACAGCAGTGCCTAAACTGGCCCTAAGCTGATATAGAATGAAAGCCGAGTGTCTGGCTCAACAAGCAGTTAATATTAATATTTCAGATGCTGACATCAGTCATCATTGCCTTTATTTAAGATGAGACAGGTTTGCCACTCTTTCGACAAATAATGTGAACACAAATTACTACTGTGGCAGAGAAACTATTCTTGAATTTTTAATATTAAACACTGATTTTTAAAACTTATTAGCTCTAGGGTCTTGGACCAAAACATTATCCCCTTGCCCTCAAGAAGTGCCTTGAAAATGAATGTTTAACATAAAATTAATTTGAAGATGTTAGAATGGTGCTTTTTAATACTGACTGGGCCTTTTTTGTAATTGAATGAATGTGAGGTGTTTCAATGTATGTTTTGTGTAAGTATGCAAACAATGGTTACAACTCATGTTGCGTTTGCAAGCAAGACTAAATGTCTGATACCACTAGGAAAAAAACAACAGACACTAACCTAAGTTTGTTATACTTTTTGAAAGAATGACTTATTTTTACAATGGTCTTGAATAAACACTTTTGGTACTTCTGTAGCTCAGCATGTTTTCTTTGTCCTTCTTTTCATGTGTCCTGTAAATATAGCTAGTAATTCTAATACATGAGGACCTTGATTATGAAGCGTAGCTATAAGAAACACCAGTATGCAGCTTTTGACCTTCTAAAAATAACAACTATAACACCAATAACAAAAACAATATAGTTCAGAATTGAACATATTTAAATTCTCATGCCATTTCATGAGCCTCCTTGTGGGCTGTATTTGTAAAGAGGATGTACCTTGTCTATATATAGTTTTTCCATTCAACCTTTTGGGTTGAATTCACAATTTAGGGTCTTTGGTCATTGATTATCATTTATAATCATCATTTCTAGAACAGGGTTGTTTAAACAGAATTCTGATTAGATTTTTTTACAGTCAGTTTTGGAAGCAAGAGTTTATACCGATTATAATTTAAGCACTGACACAGGGTATGGTAGATAGGGAGAGGAGACCGTTGCGAATGTTATCATTTTGCTCTTTCCCATTTGTTCTATATTTTATTATTTCATTGTTTACTTGCAGAAATCTTGAACTGTATTCTTATGGCACCCTAAAAGGCATACTTTGAATCTCTTCTGAACAGTAATTGTTACATCTAAATATCATTACAATGAGATACATTGCACAAAGGACCTCATCGCATGGAGTTGGAGAAGCCAGCAGACAGCAAGGGAAAATGTGGAGCAGCTTACCACTTCATCCCCTTACTGTGGTTGTCTCTGGCTTCCTCCCACTTCCTCCCCGGCTTCCCTAATGGAGCCCTACCGGAAGTAGCCCTGCGTCATTTGATAAGTTCCGGTGGACTCCATGACAGCAGTGCAGAGAAGCGGAGATTAACATCCATGTGATGAGGTGGTAAGATCGTATTTGCCAGGAGCCCGCAAACTTTTAAAGCAGAGGGTCGATTCACAGTCCCTCAGACTGTTGGGAGAGCCAGACTATAGGATAAAAAAAAAAGAACAAATCTGTGTGTACACTGCACATATCTTACCTGTAGTGCAAAATAATAATAATAATAATAATAATAATAATAATAATAATAATAATAATACAATATTTAAAATGAAGAACAATTCTAACCAAGATAAGGTTACCAATATTTCTATGAGAAGTGTGGGCCTGCTTTTGGCTGATGAGATAGTCAAGTTAATTAGGATTGTTGTTATCGTGTGCCTTCAAGTCATTTCAAAATTAGGATGACCCTATGTCTAAAGTTTAGGCGGGATCTGGGTAAATGACCTTGGAGGGCGCACCTGGCCCGCAGGCCTTAGTTTGGGACCCCTAGGTAAAGGTAAAAGTAAAAGTTTTCCCCTGACATTAAGTCCAGTCATGTCCGACTCTGGGAATTGGTACTCATCTCCATTTCTAAGCCGAAGAGCTGTTGTCCATAGACACCTCCAAGGTCGTGGTGAGCATGACTTCATGGAGTGCTGTTACCTTCCCACGAGAGCAGTACCTATCGATCTATTCCATTTGCATGTTTTCAAACTGCTAGGTTGGCGGAAGCTGAGGCTAACAGCGGGAGCTCATGCCGCCCCCCAGATTCGAATCTGCGACCTTTCAGGACCTCTAACACAGTGGTTCTCAACCTTGGGTCCCCAGATGTTTTTGGCCTACAACTCCCAGAAATCCCAGCCAGTTTACCAGCTGTTAGGATTTCTGAGAGTTGAAGGCCAAAAACATCTGGGGACCCCAGGTTGAGAACCACTGGTCTAACATATGTTATCTACACTTTCCTGGGTGTATATATCTTTAAAATGGTGGCACTCCATGTCCGTTAACCAAATTGCACCTTGACTTGTGGAAGTTCTAAATGAATTATGTCTAAATGAATCTTTCCAGTGTCCAATTACAAAACTAAGTATGCTACATGCAAAATACATAAAAGAGGGCAATTGTGTGTTTTGATAAAGCTATGTCTTCATTACTTGTTGGAGCACCTTTTCTAAAATTGTGCTAAACATTTACCCTGTGAAAACTGGCATTGTTTTGCTCTTAAAATATACTTTCCAGCCCTAAGAGGTTGACAGAAAATGAATCTGTAATAGCTCTGCAAGAATAATTATTGTAGAAGAACACAGATAAAAAGCTTCTCAACTGGCAATCTGAATTAGTCTGTTGAAATTATGGAAGCTTCAGTTCAGTTCTGGAACTGAAACACATAATTGGTCTAAGCTCTGCAATCTTTTCCTTAATCCTTCTAGTTGTATCTTACTGTTTTGTTTCTGAATTCAGTCTGTTGATCTGGAGATTTTCAGCCAATTTGCAGACTCCTGAAATCCATATCATATAGGTTTTAGCATTGCATTATTAAGGACAACACTGATATAATAATGTGTAAAATGCCTTTTCCTTTCAAGAGTAGCAAGCCAAAGTGCCAAAAGTCCTTCAAAAGATCACTATCAGATGCTTCCTTGGAGAAATTAGAACATTTCAAGTAACAGAAGGCTCATTATTTATTATTTTTAAAATAAAACTCATTTTGCTAATTGCTAACTGGAAATGTTTGAAACTATAAATACTTTATCCTTTAGAATGCAGCCTGCTAATGAATCAAGTCCTTGTCTTGACAGCATGGAAGCAGAAGAAACTGTCACAACTCCATATCAACAAGGAGTACATTGGGGTAGAGAAAGAATGTCAGTTTATTGAGATGCAATCCTCTCAAGCATGGGAAAAAATGCTTGCCCCCTCCTATGTGCATAGCAATGAACGCAGGCTTACAACAGATGTGTACAACACACAAAATTCCATTCCATTTGTGTAATTTGAGAACCAGACACTGGAAAGCAGTGGAACCATAATTCTAATACTGCTTGAAGGAAGCAATAGTCACAAGTTAACATATTTGCTTACTATATATTTTGCCATAGTACCAATATGAATTCTGTAATGTTCTTGAAGCATATTTAAGAAAAGGGTCATCATAGTTTGCCATCCACTGGGGTAAGGTGTGGAGGACCCCATGAAACTCTTTCTTTAACTTGAGTCAATTCCTTTCTAGGAATCTCTCAGTCCTCCAGTGTGACTTGGTGGTCAACTGCTGATGGAATTTGAGCATACATTTCTATTGGAGGACCAAGAGATTCCAAGAGAGACCTTAATAATCAAATCCATGAATACTAAAAAAATTAAACCTGCAATTGTGCATCTTCATGTCCCCGTAGTTCAGAAACGAATTGCAGATCTTATGTAGCCATAAAAGCATACAAAAGGGTAAGCAAACTGAGGCCCTATTTACGCTGCAATATAATCCAGTTTCTGAATCCAGATTCGTTAATGCCAATGGGTGCTTCGGTCAGGTGCTTCACCAGATCATTTCTGATAGCAAAGCCAACTCTGTGTATTCTTCATTCTTCTTTAGGCAGTCCCTTCCAGAAAAAAGGTGTAGCTTCCTTTTTCTTCCTTCAGCTGTCCCTCTCCTGCTCTCTAGGTCTCCTGAAGTACTGCTATGTCAATGTTAAAGCATCCCAGCTCCCTTGCAATTATAGCAGTTCTGCGTTCGGGGTGTTCACTGTCAGTGTTGTCCAACAGTGTCTGTACGTTCCATGTTCTGAAGTTTATTTTTCTTTTTTGGCTGCAGGGTAGTGACCCCTCTAGATGCGGCAGTCTAGTCAGGGATAAGAGAGGCAGACTATGTTTAGGGGACCTTTTCTAGTCCCTTCCCCATGTGGGGTTAGGAGAGTGGATCCTAAAAAGGGCTGCTCAGTCATAGATACAGCTGCCAAACTTCTCAACTGCCTTGGACTTTGAGGTAGAATGACTGAGTCTGAATCCACCACCCATGAACCAGTTTGTGACTATGGGATTCCAGATTTCACAGTCATGCCCCTGTCGCCACTCGCTGATCGCCATTGGACTTTTTGTTGGTTTGTTTTTATTTTTCTTGGAAGATGCATGTGCATGAGGTTTTTTTAATGTGTGGAGGTCAGTGCATGGCTGATCAACACAGTCTTCACAGAGTGAAGTCCCATCTAGCGGTATGGATAACACGACAACCGTGGCTTCTCAATCTGTTGCAGCCTCCTTCTGCCTTCACAGCCATTGTAACATGTACCATGTTATCCTCTGCCTGCTCCACCGTTGAGGTTTTTGGGTCTTCGGATTATGCTTGGTCTGAAACCTCCCCTG